CCAGAGCCCCCTCATTTACATCCTCTGCACTGGCTGCTAAGCAAGGAGGGCACCTTGACTTCAGATCTTGCTGTGCTGTCCTTGATCTGGCAAATCCAGAATTGTTCCCATCTCAAACATGCTGCTGAGGTATTTACAGAAAGAGGGCTCGGGAGGTGTGTGTCTGTGTCTACCATTGCAGGAGTACTAAGAGCCACCAGGTGTAGTTCAGAGCTTCATTGCACAAACTGCTTCTGGCCTGGTTCCACAGGAGCTCTTGCTCTGTGCTCAGGTAGAGCAGAGAACTGAAAGCTGTGGGGGAAGAGGAGAGGTGACCGCTGTAGGTGTTTAGTGTCTGCCAAGAAATGGCACAGCAATCTTCTGATTCCCACAAATAGGCATTATAAAGGAACGTAGGTGGAGCAAGGATGCTGACTCTGTGGGGATATGAAAAGCCATTGGAGAAAGGGTAGCTTCATTCTATTCTGTGACTTGGTGAGCTTCCAGGGTCCTATATAAAATAGTTTATGAACCAAGGCATACAGCAGTGGTGATTTTCAGCCCAAGTCATACCACTACACAAAAAAAAACCTATGTTTATTAATAACTGATCTCTGGGATCCTTGCTATGTGTGTTCTTTTAATGCTCCTGAACTTTGTGCTGCTGGCTTTGCTTCTAGCTACGTGCTATTTCCAGTGTACTAAGTAGGGCTGACTAGAAAATAAGAGCTTCCATTTCATGAAACATTTAGCATTTTCACTGCCTCTTTAATCTATTCTGGAAGAAAACTGAAAGTGTAGGGCATGAAAGACTCTGGTGCTCTCACAAACATTAATTTTGCCACAAGTCCTCAAAAAACTGTCATACTAGGATGGCACTTCTATACCTCTATATGCCCCTGGATACTTGGAGCCCCATATGTTTTCTAGCAACTGTTCCACCACAGTGGGTGAGCACAGTGTTGCTGCACCTGGTGACAGTGCCTTGTTCTTTATAGCTCTGAGTGGAGACATGCTAGCAAGAGTTAAATGTTCACACCATATCTATATGCTCATGTTAGTATGATGTGCTGGCTAAAAGCCTGTTATGTCTCCAGTGCATTCTCTGGAAGATCTTCTGTCTTGCAGGCTGGTTGGAGGAGCTTGGCCCTTTTAGTCAGGTGCCAGGAGAGGCAAGGGCAGAGAAGGCTCGGAAAGCTGGTGCAGAGCAGGGTAACCCTGCCTGCAGGCAAGGAAATTGTCCCAGGGCTAGGATGGGTCCCGGTTCAGGCTTGTCCCAGAGTCCACTAAGGTGAAAGTTGAGTGTTTTCTGTTTGTTAATATAATTTGAGGAGCTTTCTGTGCTCCTATACTTAAGTTTTCTGGGTGGTAGGTTCTGAGCTGGGGCATTTCATGAATTGAAGTCTTGACCCTCAAAGAGAACTTTTTCCAGCTGTTGTGTATGTGTCATACAGGCTCTACCTTACTCTGTGCAGCATTAAAAACTGCATGGGCTTCTGTGTGCAACAGCCTGGCTGCTGGGGCTTAAAAACGGGTAGAATCTTCGATTTTAATGAAGTGACCTTTGTAGAAAGTTACTGATTTACTCCAGCAAGCCCCCCTTATTTACAATTAGGGAGTGTAAAGTGTGACTGTACTCCTTGAAGTGCTCCCTGCCTCGTGGGCTGCACTCGATCCTTCCCGTGCTTTAAGGCGAGGGCTGTTTTTGCTACCAGCCCAGGGGCCCC